GACCAGACTTATCAATTGGATCCAGCGGAGATTTGATCTTCTTCTGTCACTTCTTCTGTTGTCATCACCGTGTTAACCGCAACCGCTTCGCTTTCCGTTTAGATCAAAGAAGAACAACGAGCAGTGATGCGGTTTGAGCGGTTTGCTGTTGTACCAGTAGCTGAAATCCATCGATGGCAATCAACACAATATAGAAACTATGTTTTACCGCAATCGAGTTCGTACGGGTGAGCTGAAAATGTTAAAAATTGTCAATCGAGAGTTAAACAGATGAATGTTATGCCATTGGAAAGAAGAACAAAAATGAATAAAGTCAGATTGGCTATGGATGCTGCGTGAATGGTAATCGTAAAAGTGATCTGCTAAATTCTGGGTGCCAGGAACAGATTTATGAGCAGTTATTCAGCACTCATGGCAGTAATTCATTTTTCCCTATTTTCCTTTTTTATTTAAATATAACCTGTGTTTTGTTATCTCTTCTTTTTCACATGAATTCACATGAATCAGATGTGTAAGGTTGGCAACAGCGATCAGTAATTAACCAATACGAAGTTGGCTACGAAGACTGATCGTTAATTGTTTGGTTGAGTAACACCACTACTAGTGGTGTTCGATTCTCTTTAAAGAATCGATTCTGAATCGAATCATGATAATCGAATTTCCCAGAAAATTGAAATCATCAAATCGATTCTGCAAGAATCATGATAATCGAATTTCCCAGAAAATTGAAATCATCAAATCGATTCTGCAAGAATACATCCAAAATTTTTGTTTTCAATTTACATAATAGAAATATTAGTACAGTTTTATAGCTTTTATAACAAACTTGTACATTTGCTGTACAATCTTGGAAAATTTTATATTTTTTATTGTGCAATACATTGAGTTTGACAAAATTAGTCGAACTTTAATTGTTAGTTTTTCATTAGTAATGGATGCAGAAACAATAATCTTCTATCCGTGAAAATATCTTTCGTCCAACAACTAAGCCAAATAAAGAATTAAACCAAATGAAAATTAAACCAGTTAAAATTCAAACGATAAATTTGTTAATTATACGAAATAGTTGGACGCTCAAACTCAATAAACGTAATCTTCAATTTTTTTATTTCATTCCCGGATCATAATTCATTTATTCCCTCATTCCCGACCTAGTTCTTAAAGACGAGCAGCTTAAATAAGTAAATCTGAAATAGAACATATTTCTTTAGGAAACATATATATATATTAAAGTAATATGTTGCTTATTGGTTTATGAAAACGATAGCCCGGTTTATAGAAAGCTAACGACCAAGTCCTAAACACTTAAAAGTTCACAGTCCCATTAAGTTCGTTGCAGCTCAAGTCAGAAATTGTTATATAATTATTGTGCAAAGTTAGTAGTCCACGAAGTTCTAATCAGAAGTTCTGTTCTGTTGTAACAATAAGTACGGGTCCAGTTCTGTATTGTCCGGAGGTCAAAGTATAAGTCCTCTGGCTATGTTGCGTCAATCTCCTACCGAAAGGATCGTTAAATTCATTTCCTTGATAAGGGTTGAAAAATCCTTCAGAGAAATCCCTTTTTCAAGGATCTTCGCTCGTAAACCAATGTCGTCTTTCCGGTGCATGTGGTCCTATTATGTATTGATTGCCATTGAATGAGTACGGCTCGTCTGGCCATGAAAACGTATCTACTTAAAAAGTACATAGACACGATCGAATGTGATCAGCNTTCTGCAAGAATCATGATAATCGAATTTCCCAGAAAATTGAAATCATCAAATCGATTCTGCAAGAATACATCCAAAATTTTTGTTTTCAATTTACATAATAGAAATATTAGTACAGTTTTATAGCTTTTATAACAAACTTGTACATTTGCTGTACAATCTTGGAAAATTTTATATTTTTTATTGTGCAATACATTGAGTTTGACAAAATTAGTCGAACTTTAATTGTTAGTTTTTCATTAGTAATGGATGCAGAAACAATAATCTTCTATCCGTGAAAATATCTTTCGTCCAACAACTAAGCCAAATAAAGAATTAAACCAAATGAAAATTAAACCAGTTAAAATTCAAACGATAAATTTGTTAATTATACGAAATAGTTGGACGCTCAAACTCAATAAACGTAATCTTCAATTTTTTTATTTCATTCCCGGATCATAATTCATTTATTCCCTCATTCCCGACCTAGTTCTTAAAGACGAGCAGCTTAAATAAGTAAATCTGAAATAGAACATATTTCTTTAGGAAACATATATATATATTAAAGTAATATGTTGCTTATTGGTTTATGAAAACGATAGCCCGGTTTATAGAAAGCTAACGACCAAGTCCTAAACACTTAAAAGTTCACAGTCCCATTAAGTTCGTTGCAGCTCAAGTCAGAAATTGTTATATAATTATTGTGCAAAGTTAGTAGTCCACGAAGTTCTAATCAGAAGTTCTGTTCTGTTGTAACAATAAGTACGGGTCCAGTTCTGTATTGTCCGGAGGTCAAAGTATAAGTCCTCTGGCTATGTTGCGTCAATCTCCTACCGAAAGGATCGTTAAATTCATTTCCTTGATAAGGGTTGAAAAATCCTTCAGAGAAATCCCTTTTTCAAGGATCTTCGCTCGTAAACCAATGTCGTCTTTCCGGTGCATGTGGTCCTATTATGTATTGATTGCCATTGAATGAGTACGGCTCGTCTGGCCATGAAAACGTATCTACTTAAAAAGTACATAGACACGATCGAATGTGATCAGCTTGAAGGTCCTTCGAAATCGTATTTTCTGTGAAAAAAAATTTCGGCTCACTAATATCGAAAATAATTGAGATGGCCACGTTAAGTGGCACACCCTTCAGAGTTAAAAGTACCATCATTCTGAAATAAAGAACGTTCTGCATACATTACTAAATAAACATACCATTTTCATGTACTCACCTGATACATTGTCGAACTGTAGGTTACACGGACGTATATTTTACACTTTTTTATATAAATAATGACAAACAGAGTTGCTACCCTTTTAAACTCGTAACTAACCGAAACTTGCATCAACAACTAATTGGAAATACAGTTTTGATGGAATTACGTGTGCTGAATAGGTATTCAAATTGCACAAACTATAATTTTGATATTTCTCTTACGTTTTTCGAATAACACATAAGTTCAGGTATTTGATTCGCATATACTTTTGGATAATCTTGCATAATTTAACATTCGCTGTTAATTTGCAATTCGAACGCAACTCGGTGCACCTATTTTAGTAGTGTCATTTGAAAGAGCAAAATTTCTACATTTAATTTCGATTTTTAATTCTCCTTTTATTAATAAATTACCGAAAGTAAGAATGAAGCAGTTTTTGCAATTTTAGCATTTGTCATTTTATGAATTTTCAAGATAGATTCTAGATAAAAATAAGATAGATTAAGACATGTTCAATCTAGAAGATTGAGAGCTCTTTTCTCTTCCTTTTTTTAACCTTCCTTCCTTTTTTAACCCATTTTTCAATGGGTTATTATGGAGGGTAAGGTAAATCCAAGAAGCATTTAATCAAAACTGTTATCTGTTAATTAAAACTGTCATGAATGTTGTATGTATGTGATAAGAAACATTGTTTTGTATGATGAAGAAGTAAATAAATCAATTACGGAAAGAAACGTGCCGTTAGTTGTATCATCACCTTGAAAAAAATGGATTGATCTTGTTACATTTTGCAACGTTTAAGAGAATGATCCCTTAATATCGTAGCGATTTTTTACGTTTACGACTTGTAAGTAATTAATACGCATTTTATAAATACTATTCTGTGACTTACAGTGTCGGATTAAGTGATCGATTAAGTAATTAATCCATTATAGTATCAATTATATTATAAGATCTTACAAACAATGAATAATTATTCTCTGAATCAAATATTTGTCTAGGAAGAATTTATTTTTATTCGAAACTATCCGAATCGTGTTATTACGGTGAACATTTAGGTAAGCGCGATTTGTAAGTATGACGACGTATAGACAGAAATCATGCCGATTGACAGCAGTTCCTCTGAACAAATTGCCTGAAGAGGGTGGAATGATTAGGTTGCTTCGTCTCATAGTATATTTACGGTGCATCAATTTTTAATATAAACACATACATAGATGCAACAACACTACATAGGTGCACTTTTCTTACTAATGTCAACTAACAAATTATTTCATAATATAAGACAAGATTTGTTACATCAGTTCGTTCTGTGACCTTCTTGCACTTTACAGATTCTAACAAAGTTCGCTTTCTGTAACCTTTCCAGAGAATGGACATTCACAGGAACTTTATAACATTATCAGAATATAAATCATTGTTAAAGAAATGGTAATAAACAGACATCAACGTAAAAGTTAATAGATTGTAATAAAAATTAAGTTTCAAGTACAGCGTATTCTTACAATGCCGTGTTATATATATAAGAGGGTTGGTTGCATTAAATTTAGTTTCTATTGAACACGTTGACCACCACCCCGGTTCATAAGAATTGCACTACTTTTTTTTTATCAGATTTAAGACTATATGTTTTCGTTGTAAAGTGTTCGAGTACACTAATTATTGTTTAATAATTATTATTAGGATTTGTAACAAACAGAAGGTTTAAATTGATAATTAATATAATATTTACTTTCTGTTTTGCTGGTTGTGATTTCGCAGCCACGATATTAACACGGGTTCGATAGAACATGAAACGAATGAACCGTGCTGTGGAGGGGTTGATTGTAGCATGTGCGTGCTGTCATTTTGTCCGATCGCCGTTAGATCGGTGAACAATTAGGTAAGGGTGATTCGTAAGTATGACGAGGTATAGGCAGAACTCAAGCCGATTGACAGCAGTCTCTTTGAGCACAGTGCCGGAAGGGGGTGGGGTGAACAAGGTGCTTCGTATTGGGGCGAACCCTCGGCCGAGTCGGGTTCAACTGGCGCTGGTGGGGGATCCTCGTGCGCTTAGGATATACAGAGAATTCCACGAGCTCCGAACTTCAGTCTCGACGCGGCAAGCGCTACGTGTGTTTCGTGTTTTCCGTACAGTGAATCATGTGTGAAAAACGTGGTTTGTGCACGCGTGGACCGCAGGTGCCTCTTCTGGTAGTGACTACGTTGTTGGTAGGTGTGCGCCCGGAATTAGTCGGTGAGTAAACGAACGTTTATTTCGCAATGTTTCGATGGCGTTCGCCGCGTCTGGGGTCGTTTTGCCGCCGAAGTTGATCAGTGCCAAAAGGAGATGTTTCCTACTGGTGTCGACGGACTCTTGAAAAATCGGTTTGTGACGGAAATTTCTGTGACGTTACAGTCGCTAGTTATTAATGTATGTCACGGGAGAAAGTGTTAAACGCGAGAAGTTCCTCGTAATTTCGTTTGGATAAAACAACCCGCTCTTTAAGATAAAGAATGATATTTCAAAAAGCTTCTTGTCATTTAATAAGTTTTTTTGGATTGTGGCTTTGCCACTTGGATTGTGAATTGTCACTTTGCTTAACACTTGAGAGGGAAACTTATCGAGGGTTAACCCGTTGCATTCTGAAGATACTTGAAAATGTATTAAAATTCATTGAAAATTTATCTATGTTTTTGTGCGTTTGTACTCGGAAAATTTCCTCAAAATTTCCTATTTGTTAGCATAATGTTGAAAATGATTACTTTATTTCAATAGAATTTGAAAGAAAATTGATACATGAAAATTGATGTCGCAAATTTTTTTAAAGGGTTAAAATCCTACTTAGAAACAAATACGAGAGATTTGTTTGAGAGATTTTGTGAAAAATTATACCAAAGTATATGTAATTGTAATTCCCATGCTTAATTAATAACAAAACAATCCTATGCTTAATATGATCAATAAAAACAAGTTTCAGAATTTCTACCCTCCAAAGAGTTAATTCGATCACTATATTTGTGATCTTAAAAAATAATTACGTTTGACTTATTTACTGTTTGAACCGCCTCGAATTAGGCAATTAAAGTAAACTTGAGGAATAAATGACACAATCTGAGATTTAGCCGCCTAATAAATCTTCGATATATTGTAGCACTGGTGAAGCCATAAATGCTAGCTTTTTAAGCTTAAATATTCAAAATAAAATTGTTTCCCCCAATCATTGAAAACAGAGGTCACATAATAACTGTGCTCTTTCTTTAATGATTGCAATAAGACAAGTGTAATACATCGATACTCTTACATTCTCTCAGTATTTTTGCTGGTTATAAATTACACCTAGCGATTTCTGTCATAAATGCACAAAATCCGCAGTGTACTAATTACTAAGAAGACATTAATGATTAAAGTTATCCTCTTTATATTTTTAGACACAAAGCGCCTTCTCAATTTTACGTTATAAATACGGAATTTTTTATATTGAATGTGGTAAGGCTATTTGTGTAAATGAAAAAGTACTTCTGCAGCTAGCACAGTGAAACTGACATACCCGACTTGGCGAACATTACGATTTGTCAGGGGTTCGATAAATGGTCAGCATAACACTTGGGGTGCTCTCCCCATTAGATGCTGTGGGAACAGGATTGAAATGATGCTGAACAAAATAGTATTTCAAATAAAATATAGTTTGTTACTTCGAATCGTGGTTGCTCGATGATCAAATTTATTTTCCATACTACTTCTTAGGTATTAGGCATTTACAGTAGAGAATAATATAAAATTAGAAGGATATTGAAGATGGTGGGACTTTCTTTTTGCGAAAATATTTTTGCTTTTATTTTGTAAAAGCGTGTTTGTTATTTAGTAAAAACTCTGAAACGAAATGTGGAAAGAGTANCACAAAATCCGCAGTGTACTAATTACTAAGAAGACATTAATGATTAAAGTTATCCTCTTTATATTTTTAGACACAAAGCGCCTTCTCAATTTTACGTTATAAATACGGAATTTTTTATATTGAATGTGGTAAGGCTATTTGTGTAAATGAAAAAGTACTTCTGCAGCTAGCACAGTGAAACTGACATACCCGACTTGGCGAACATTACGATTTGTCAGGGGTTCGATAAATGGTCAGCATAACACTTGGGGTGCTCTCCCCATTAGATGCTGTGGGAACAGGATTGAAATGATGCTGAACAAAATAGTATTTCAAATAAAATATAGTTTGTTACTTCGAATCGTGGTTGCTCGATGATCAAATTTATTTTCCATACTACTTCTTAGGTATTAGGCATTTACAGTAGAGAATAATATAAAATTAGAAGGATATTGAAGATGGTGGGACTTTCTTTTTGCGAAAATATTTTTGCTTTTATTTTGTAAAAGCGTGTTTGTTATTTAGTAAAAACTCTGAAACGAAATGTGGAAAGAGTAATCTGAGAAATCTGTTTCGTGTTTCTGAGAAAATTTTTTTTATAAAATTTGTTCTGATATCTAGTTTAATATAATTACTTTTAGATTTGTATGCAGGAATAATGCTATATAATTTCTCTTCGCAATATTATTGTCTCGTTACATGCAGAAAAATGTATTTTATTTTACGCGTAGAATAAGATCAAGAATAACAGTGTTGTCTAGTAAGTAGAATAAGATTGAACCAAGAAATCCTTCGTAATTCTTTCTCGATCGAAAAAGCTGGTATTTTGATAACGTTGCCATCATAATTTCAAAATTTACTAAGATATTGAATTTGAGATTTTATTGAATATAATATTATAAAATTTATTTATCATCAGTCAAATCTAAAAGGGTGTCATTATTTTCACATATAAAAATGAAATCAGCTACTAATAATTTCTTATAATAATATAATGCTATTTTATTAGAGTTCATAATTTATATAAAAATGTTTCTAGAATTGATATCGTTAGTAAATCGTAAAAGATGAAAGATTGTAAAGAACAGCATAATGCACGCATGAAATATATGGATCATTTGAATCCGAAAATTCGAGGCAATGAAAAAATGGGAAAATCAATTCTTAATTTCTCGATCTATATGTTATCCTGGCAACGACATAATTTCCGGCTTAAATACAAACGTAAATATCGTGTAGCACAGTTTCTTTATTTGATCGAAATTTTATTTGATTTATGACGGTTCACTATAATGGACTTTGACCTGCTGAAATTTGATACATGCTAGTGTGCATGCAAAATGCACAAAATATTGGAAGAGTAAATTCGTGTTTCGCGTACTTCTGTCTAGTGTACCTTTCCTAGTTCTTTTTAGTGACCTAAAAGAATTATAAATTTAACGTCCTGATCACAGTAATATTGCATGTAAAAGTTCTTACAATTGTATCATTGAAATCGGAAAACAACATAAGTAAGTTACTTTTGTATTGTGTGCATTCAAATGCATTCAATTAGCATAGGAAAAAGTCTCAGCTAAGTATATTGTAATGGAGAATTATAATAAACGAAAATTAAATTTTCTTGAAAAAGAAGCTGTATGTAAAATAATACATTGTTTTTATTTCTTTTATTAAGTATATGTAACTCTTTTTAAGTTTTTATAATGATTTCTATCATTCAATTTCACTGCATAAGAAACAACAATAAATAATAAGAGATGAAGATGTTTTATAAAATTATTGACGGTGAGAAATGTAATATATAGGTAACACCTTTTTGTCTTCTGCAGATTTATTAGAGTGCTTTTTGTGCCACATCCTGTCTTTTATATCAGCAAATAGTACTATTTTATCGATTTTTCTGTAATTTATACACAGCGAGCGGTTTTATGGATCATGAGATTTTCACGTTCGCAATAATTTTACTGCGTCGTAAGAGCTGGAATACTTCGTTTCCTCGGTAGATAATTAGCTTCCATAATGCAAATCCTATCATGAATAAGTGAAGTTATTTGCACAGTAGATATCAGTCATTTTAACATTACCATTGTTTTATAATTAGATCGTTAATTTAAGGTTCTATGAAAAAAATCGATATTCCGTTGCCATGTAATTATAACAGTAGATAATAAATTAATTATTTACAACAGGATCCTACTTGGATCGTGATTATTTAATTTGTAAAAAACTGCAGCTGCTAATGTATCTTGTGTGTTCGTGCATACTCCATGTTAACGTATACGTCAACCCGGTGCGGAATTTTATTTAGTATTTCTGTAAACTATCTTTTCAACCTGACTTGGACCTAACATGAATCTAACTTCGTCCTAACTTCTAAGTCGTACTTAATTCAGATCTAACCCAGATCCAAAAATTATAAATTTGCCAACATGGTAAGTATAAGTTAGGTCTGTGTTACATCCCTTACGCGACCAAATTAACGGCTGACTAGGTCCGGTTTAAGTACCTAAACTTCATCATCTGTTTTAAAAGGTTCCTCCACTATATAGACTGCTCATTAGTTTCCGTGATGCGTTTATAGAAACAGTAAATAAACTTCCGCACCGGGTTGACGCATACGTTGCCACGGGGCATGCACGTATACGCAAGATTCAATGTAGTAGTAGCTCCAATTTCCTGCGAGATACATATTTCTGCAACTTAAAGAGGGCGACATTTTTTATACCGAAAAAGTTGTTCAAAATAGCTGATCATATGAAGACTTTGTTGTAAATAAATATCGGTAATGCATATATAGATACAATAATTTTTATATAATTGTTAATTGTTTTTCATAATAACGATGAGTTATGTTTTTTAATCTAGTATAAAGTAATGTAAAAGAGAAAACCAACAAAGGAAAGATAAGAAAAAAGTGCAGGGGTAGTAAATCTATCAATTTATTAAGATTATAAGTTTTAATATCATAGGTTTTTTTTTTAATCTTTATAATCTTTTTAACTCTTTTACTAGCGCATCGGACCATTAAACTTGAGTGCAAATATATTCTATACAAATGGAGGAAATTAAAGACATTGATATCAATGGTTCGATGACGAAAAAAGTCATGTAATTGTTCTCGGAAACTGAACCGATAACGTTATCCGATTCGGCAAATGTCACGTATTAATGTTCCAGGACTGAATCCATTAAATTCTCAAAAATGCGATATCTTTGGAAAAGTATGGAATTGTGAAATTGTTAATGCCGGAAATAGGATTACGCGTGTGTAATCCTATTATTAAAAAAAAAAAACACAAAAAACGTTTACGATTACAGCGAATGATTTTAGAGAAGGTAACATCGTCGGCGGATGATAAATTTTCACGTTATTTCGGGA